ACATCTTTCTTTAATCTATCCACTTCTTCTTTGAGCTCTATGTTTTCTATGAGATTTAGCTCAATCGAAGATTGGCTTGCTTGAGGAGCACATTCATTAGTACAAGAAATATTTAATTGAGATAGTGTACTAGTGAGTAAATGTGTGAGAGGTTGAGAAAATTTTACCGATGTGATCACAACCTCATGAGCCACCTCAAGCATGATGCTTGATTCTACTACTTCATCATGAGAGCACTTTAGATGAACATAGTTTGCTTGTAGCACATTATACTTGCTTGATAGTTCATCTAGCCTTGCCTTGAGCTCAAAGTTTTCCTTCTCTAGTTGTGAAACATTAGAAGAGGAGTTAGTAACTAAAGCATGCTCAATTGATAATTTTTCATACCTTTCACTTAGAGCCTTTAGTTCTTCCATTTTGGAGATGAGAAACAATTCTTGCTTTTGAAGTGATTGTTCTTGCTTCTCAATCTCTTCTTCAAGCTCATCATTCCTTTCAACTATTTTTATGATGATGAACTTGTCCTTGCGGTTGAGATGATCAAGGTTGTAGTTGTCTTCAACTTCAACATCACTCTCATCTTGATCATCTACTTGTGCTTTCTCCTTTTCTTGATCTTTCTTGTTACTCTTCTTCTTGCTTTTCTTGGCCATGAGACACAAGTGATGAGTATCATGAGATACTAAGGTTGACTCATCACTTGATCACCACCGGGCTTGAGCATCGTTGCAAACAGCTGCTCGCTGCTCTGCCACCTCGGCCATACCGGACACGTCCGGTAGGCATACCGGACACGTCCGGTATGTGCAGGTAGACAACAAGTCATGCGCTGCTTGCACTTCTTGCTCTGGCTCGGCGCTCTTGAGGTCTTGTGAGGCTTCTTTGCTGCATAAAGACACAATGGACATACTTTCCATTGACTCGATCTCAAGTGCATCATCACATTTGGATTTTCCATATAAATCAAAAAGTCTAGTACAAATGAGATGAGCACTCTCCAGAGGTGGTTGTCCATTGAAGATTGCCTCATCTTGAACCTCTGCACTCAATGTACTCAAAATGACATTAATAGCTTGAGCATTGAGTTGCATACATATCTCTTACTCTTTTGACAAATTTTTGTAGTTGCTTCAATCAACTATAGGAAGAGGTATGCTTGCATCCACAATATGCTCAACAAGAGGACTAATATCCCTAAAAGCATTGAGTACATGAATTGACCAAGGTAGAAAGTTTGAACCATCATTTTGGAGAAGCACCGGCTCCAACTCGATAGGCGTCAACATCCTTTTCTCACGGCGGTAAAGCTTTAGGTGAGAACCTTGCTCTGATACCAATTGAAAAAACCTAGGATGCCGCCTATAGGGGGGTAAATAGGCGTTTCTGAAAATTAACACCTTTAAATATGGAAATAATTAGTAAAGGGAGTTTTCAAAATAGAAACTCCAAATAAGAGTAATACCACCCCACACAAGTTAGCCACAGAGTATGTAAAAGATACTAAATAAATCTAGGAGCCACAATCCTACATCACAATGATTAGTGCAAGGGTCAAATAAACTCAGCACTGAGCTCTAATACCGGACGTGTCCGGTAGGTATACTGGACGTGTCCGGTATGAACGTGTTCTGCAGAATAGCCTGGCAAAGTGATCAATACCGGACGTGTCCGGTATACACGATTTCTGCAGAGCAGCCCCAAACTTGCTCCTTTCGATTTCTATCTTCAAACCAGACTGTAGGTACCTACTAGAGATGACAGTAATCACAAAGAACCTGCACAAGAGCTAGAGCAACACAAATATCGAATGAAATACGAATTGAGACACGATATTTGTTTTACCAAAGTTTGGACTTGTTCGAATCCTACTCTCCATTGAGGGGGCTGCGGGCGACCCAGCGAAGGTCAGCCCTAGAGGTTACCACGAAGGTCACTCTAGCCGGAGTCTTTTCCAACTCCTTTTGCTCCTTCCACTAGTTGATTCTGAGGCGGCGGAATCGACCGTTACAAACTTTTCGAGGCACACCACAATCTCTCGGGTGCTCTCCGGCGACGCCTAACCATCTAGGACCGAAGAGTCTAAGAGTAACAAATGCGAATCACGAGATTGACAATATGCACAAGTGCTCAAGTGGTTGGATTGCTCTCTTTTTGAATTTCACTCAACCCACAATTTGATTTGACAAATTTGATCAATCACTCACTAAGAGAGGGTTGGGAGAGTTGGCAAGGCTCAAAAACGTGTATAGCAACCAGCAGAATCAGCAGCCTCCAAAAGTAGAGGCTTGGGGGTATTTATAACCCCCCTTGAAAAACTAGCCGTTTTATAGCCGTTGACGTATGCATACCGGAAACGTCCGATATGACTTACACTGCCCCAACGGTAACTAAGTTACAGAGACAATGTGAGGCGTCGGAACTCTCGATGAATGCCGGAACTCCCAACCGTCGGAACTCCCGACTAACGTCGGAACTCCCGACTCATGCCGGAACTTCCGACCGTCGGAACTCCCGACTCACGTCGGGACTCCCGACCCTCAAGGCTTTGGAAAACTAGTCGTTGGCCTCTGGTTGTGCATCCCGGACACGTCCAGTATGAATATCGGACACGTCCGGTATGACCAGGACAGTGAACCCTTCAAGTCAGTTAAAGTGCGAGACGTCGGAACTCCCGACCCTTGCCGGAACCCCCGACCGTCGAAACTCCCGACTTACGTCAGAACTCCCGACGAACCAACCCGAGAACAACAATTTTACCACTGCTGGGTAAATACTGGACACGTCCGGTATCAGTACCGGATATTGCCAGACCAGCAAGAAAAAGATTAGTTCTTTTGACTCTCAAACACTCAAAACTCACATGGGTTAGCTTGAGCACTTATGAGACATTATCTATCAACATGATGCATCCCTCTTAATAGTATGGCATTCCTATTAACTTAAATTCAAATGTATAACGAATTTAAACCTTTTGAGTTGTTCTCTTTCAACCGAAGCCGTGTATTCCAAACTTCATCAAGTGAGGGTGCTAACATGTCAACTTTGATCTTTTTCACTTGAGCATAGCCATCTTGAGCACGTGACTTGATTCCATTCATCAGATATGAATAATCCCAAATGTATCAAGTCACTTCCATCAAACACTCCAATAGTGATTTGATCCTCCACATAAACATGACCATCATAGCTTGATTAGTACCTCAACTAAATGCAAGTACTTCCTTCTTCACCCTAGCTAGGTTCTTCGGCCGTCAAGCTATCGCTTGCCCTTCACCCTTGCTTAGTACCTCGAAGTCTTTCCTTGCTATCTTCACCATCTCAAGCCATCAAGTCACATCTTGTGTTGAATCATTCATTCATGTATTGTTATCTTTTTCATTTTAATTTAGCAAGCTTCAAATATAAGACCATTCCATATGCAATCCCTTATGTCTCATTAATTAATTCTCACAAGCTTGCTTTCACATAGTACATAAAAATCCCACAATGAACAAGCATTTGCATGAATTCCATTTGCATTGTTGTCTTGTGCTTGAACTAGATTGTTTATACAACAACACATCATTTTGGCTTTCATTAAGTACCTGTGAGATAACCTATTACCTGTCCACACTTAGCAAATGGGTTAGACCTTTAATCACGTTGTCATTCAATCATCCAAAACCCACTAAAGGGCTAGATGCACTTTCAATAATCAAGAACAAGAAGGCAACAGCGATACACGAGTTAGACAGGTTCAGGCCGTCAGTATGACGTAATACCATACTCATGTGGTCTGTTGGTTTGTATTGTCTATCATATGATATTCCGTGAGTTTGGAGGGGGTCCCTGCCCGTCTTATATAGTTCGGATGGCAGGGTTACAAGTCAGTTAGATCCGAGAGATAACCAGAAAATAATAACAGATTACAGGAATCATGGGATCATACGTATCCTAACAGATCTCGTAGCATCTTCAAGATATCTTCCCGGTATCTTGCGAAAGGCGTCGAGCAGAGTCATGCCTCGCAAGGCTTCGTCTTGTGGGCTGGGCCACCCCTGGGGGCGCAACCCACGTCGTGGATATCCGGGGTCGTACCCCCCACACTTGTGTTGCACGCATTGGTTTTGTGGGCTGGGTCACCTTTGGAGCACGGCCCATGTCCGTGGGTATATCCCCCACACCATCAAGACAACTAAAATGGACCTGTCCCGTCCGTGTTGTCTCCAAACCAAAGGCAAACCTAATTTTGTAATTTGCGTTGTCTTTCATCGGTCAAATAATAAAATAATAGATAGATGGATGACTAGCTAGTAACTTAGGGCATTTTTGGATGGACTAAACTAAATTTTGGTCCATATTTTGGATGCTAAATAGAAGGCCTAAACATGAACTGATCATGATCCAACAAAAACTAATAGAGGCTAATTGATGAATAGAACGCATTAGAAAAAAAATAATTAGTCTATGTTTAGCTTATTATATCCAACAACGAGCCAAACTTTAGTTCGGTGATCCAAACAATTCGGTTTATCCCCTGTCGTTTTACTGGCGCAGGTTCTTCCTCTTAATTGATGACGTATGGTCTCCAACGGCATTGATTACAATCAGAAAATTTCTGCCTTCTAGTGAGGAGCAAGATGTTTTTCCAGCTGGAATAATGTTTTTCTCTCACGATAAATCAGCCGGAACAGTATTTCGGCTTGTTTTTTCAGCGAAGCGAACAGGCCACAGTAGTCACCACGCGGTTTGAGGTAGTCGCCAGGACATGCTTCCGTGCAGAGGAAACCGATGTTCTGCACAGAGTCGATCGTCTTTCAGATCCTGACTCGAGATCTATTTAAGGAAGAGTTCAGGCCTGGGGCTATCCAGATTTGAAGGAATGTATGGCCTAGATGACACCTTGAATGGATGCGCTGGATTGCCCCTGGCCATAGTGCTTGTGGCTGGCATCGTGGCTACCGTTTTTTGGTTGGGAACCGAGAATACACACCGACACCCCGGTGGAAACAATAATAGGGATGTCTTATGAGACTCTGTCCACTGATCTCCAGAGTTGCATGCTGTATTTGGGCACATTTCCAAAGTCCTACAAGATTAGCAGGAAACGTTTGACCAGGAGATGGCTAGCAGAAGGACTGTTGGGTGCACAAGCTGGGTATACCGCGGAGGAAATTGCAGAGAAATACTTCAGCTACCTCCTCCAAAGGAATATCATACGACCTACAGATCACTGCACAGATGGGACGGTGAAGACATGCCAAGTCCATGACATGATCCATGAGTTCATTGTGCGCAAGTCAAACGAGGAGTCTTTCATCAACGTGGTCGGTGGCCACTGGCTCATGCCAAAGGTGATAAGCAAGGTCCGCAGGCTGTCCGTCCACGCCACTGATCATGTACAAGAAGAAATTGAGGACATGAACTTATCTCGTGTCCGATCCCTGGCCGTCTTTGGTACCTCCCACAAATTCCCTTTCCATTTCTTCAAGTTTCGAATTGTTCAGGTGCTGGATCTTGAAGGTTGTCGGGGACTGAAGAAGCACCACATGAAGCGTGTGTCTGAGATGATTCTGTTGAAATACTTGAGCCTGCGGAAGACGGACATCGACAGGTTTCCCTCCAAGATCGGCAGGCTCACCTACCTGGAGACTCTTGACATCAGAGAGACCAATGTCTCGGTGCTGCCAAAATCCATCACCGGCCTACAACTACTGTGCAAACTGATTGGCGGGAATAAAAAGACGAGGAAGTCGCTGAAGCTACCAAAGGAGATGGCAACCAGGCCGATGGTCACCTTACGCATACTGTCAGGAATACAGATTGTTGAAGGACCGCATGCTCTGACAGATCTTCATAACTACACCGCACTAAGGAAGCTTCTGATTTACAAGCTAAATCTGCAAAAGGACAATTTGGCCTTCCAAGATTTGATGTCCTCCATCGAGTACCTTGGCAGCGGTCATCTCCAGCCTCTGGAAATTGACGATGAATCCTCTGAGTTCATCAATTCACTGGACTCTATGGCAACCCCTCCCAGGCATCTCACTTCTCTGCAGCTGTATGGGAAGTTGCTTAAAGTTCCAGAGTGGGTCACCTACCTGGAAGATCTTGTTAAGCTAACGATTTCTGTGACAGTTCTCAGGACAGATACTTTCAAGCTCCTTGCGTCAATGCAAAAACTGTTTTGCGTTACCTTCTCATTCAGTGCTGAAAAGCAGGATTCATATATTGAGGACATTATCAAGGAGAATAAACAGAACTCTGGGGGTAGCATCTTGGTTCCAGGCGGAGAATACAAGAGCCTCAAGCTTCTTCGCTTCACTTCACCTCATCTGCCATCGCTAACCTTCTCAGAAGGGGCAATGCCCGAGCTCCAAAGGATTGACCTGCAGTTCACAAAGCTGGAAGGCCTGAGGAATATGGACAACCTTGCAAGTCTCCTAGAGGTGCATCTGACCATGAATACACAAGCAGATGAAGCTACCAGGGAGATAGTGAGAGGTCTATCAATGGCAGCTACGGGGGGTAGTGCCAAGAAATTAAAAGTTATCGTCGATGCTAGGTGAAGCGAAACTGGGCTTCCAAACTTTTGTTAAGTTCGTCGGCCTGCACTGGGAACCCTCTCCATGTTCAGGTTCAGTTTGCAATAAAAAAAAAGGCATACCCAGTGCAGAGAGCTCCCGCTTGGGGAAGGATGTCAATGGCAAGCCTTACCCTCGCCTGTGCAATGCGAGGAGACCGCGACTCGAACCTAATGTTGTTTTTTTTAATCTGGATGTTTTTTCATCGCAATGTGCTTTCTTGTTTCACCGCTGTAATTTTCAATAAAGATGACTCTGAAACTCTTCTGGAACTACAGTGTATTCTCACTGAAATTCTCAAGTGAACATTTGTAAACGAAACGAGATTGCTGAAACTCTGTAATATCAAGACTGCCAGTACCCAGTGATTCGTCGCCTAGCTTTTTTCTTCCTTTTCTGCCGTGAGTGATTTTCTACCATGCAAATTAGAAAACTCAAGATTTTACAGACACTGCTGGTGCTTGCTAGTTTACCCGTTGGTACAGTTACAGACTTACAGTTACATTAATATCGCAGTGACTTCTGTTGCAGATGAAATGTTTGCTGGCCACATTTTCACCGACACTAGTGTCTAGTAGGACTGTAGTAAAAAGAGATGGAGCGGTTAGAGGTTTGGCAGCCAGGCGATGACAAGTACTCACTCCTAGTGTGTGTGGTAGTAGCACACGTGCCTGTGATTCAGTTGTTCAGCGCAGGCTTCAAGTTTTCAACTCTACCGTCTAATTTTAGCAGATCATATTATTCCTCCTTAATTAGTCCTTGTGTGTTTATCAGTTGATGAACCTGATGCTATATGTTTGGCTGTTTATATTTAGTTATTTACTATATAGCAGAAGCAGCAGCATCGATCATCTGGAACCTTGACCATCTTTACAATGACAGCGCGAGAATCCTCCTAAAGGTTCGGTTTCCTCGAAATCCAAGAATAGAAGGAAAGGGAACCATGGTGATTTGAAAGGATAAAGACTGATGGTAGGGGACTGAGTAATGGAAGAGAAGGAACTCACCAGTGGAAGGGGGACAGGGTTGCAGGCAGCATGGCTGGTGATGGGTAGGCAATGAATGGCGTGGAGGGATTGTTGGAGATACCGTAGCATGGTGGCGGCGGGCAGCAGCAGAAAGCTCCTCTCGGTCTCAGATCGGGAGCAGCACTAGTGATTGGCGAAGGCAGAGACGCAGACGCGACAAGCGGTGGTGTTTTTCTGCCTCCGCAATCCGCTGTGGAGGCAATGGCAGACCAAGATTTGAACCCTGGGTAGGCCTAACCAATAGTCTAATATGCAATTCGGCATATAAGTATAAAATTTACTAGGCACAACGGTAGATTGGTATAAATTATCCAGACGCACAATAAACAAATATTTAAATGGTCCCATAATTATAAACTCAACAAATAAGTTCAAGGTTGCATAAATGAAGAATCAAGCACTTGACGAAAACACAATGCACTAATTTACCTGCACGTAAATGCATCAGAAATGAACTTCAGCTACACACCAGAATAATATTTGTTTTAACTTTAGTTATTTACAGGGCCAATAACATCGTACAGCAAATTAAAGGACCACTTATGAACCTAAAGAAACAATAATTGTGAATTAGAAAAGAGGCGTGAGCTTACCAGTTAGATTTTACAGCGGTGGACGGAAACGCTGGGAGGCTGGGAAGGCGGGCGGCGACTTGGCCTCGAGGCCTCGCCGAGATGTACAGGCCAGGGGCGTCGTCAGTGGTTCATCTTGGGCTCTTCCTTAGGCGGCCCCAAGAAGCGAAGTCGGCGACGCAGCGTGGCTTCCCCGTGGCGCAGACCATTGGCGGGGAGAGGAGATGGCTCCAACTAGGGCGTGTGGCGCCGCGCAGCTGCTCGGAGAAGGGGCCGAGCGGAACCCCGCGGCATCGCGCGGAGAATAGGCGCGAGGCGGCCGGCGCTCGAGCTCTGCTGGCTGCTAGTGCTAGAGCAGGACGGCTCCGCGGCGGCGCTGGACGGCTGGAGAAGTCAGGATCAGGAAGGTTGCGCCAGGATTGGGAATCGGCGACTCCGCGGCGCCGGCGCGAATGCAGAGCAGGCGGCGCCGCCCCGGGTCGAGGGAGAGTGGCCACTGGCCACGAGCCCACGAGTCCAGGATGCCGGGCTGCCTGTTGGTCCATCAAAATTCTTTTAGGCCGGTTCTGGGCCTGTACGAGCTACCGTGTGGGCCTGACACTGGCGCTGGGGATTGACCAAGAGAGACTCCACTGCCAAAAAGTCCATTTTTGTGTTTTTTTATATTGATCATAAGTGGCAGAAGCCCTACCTTTGATAAGATAGACTAGGTAGCGTGTCCGTGCGTTGCTACAGGATAACTAACAATTTATACTAAAAACACACAGATCGCACGATAAGATAACAATACTGTTAAATTAAATACCAACGTTAAAGTAACATTTAATCAAAAAAACAAAGTTTATGAATTTAACACAGTCACGGAGTGCGCGGTGTCGCAGACTCACAAACTCTAGAGCTTCCAGAGATTGGGTCGAATCCAACCTAGAGCCTCGGAACCCTGCATCTTTTCCTAGACGGGCTTCACTTCGGATGCGCCGGTAGCAATATCAACGATCTCCAGTAGATGGACCAAGTCGTATGGATCCCCATACAATGGCTCAGACATGTAGATTTTGTTCTCTTGTACTTGGATACACTTGTTCCACTAAAGCTTTCATTGAAATGTTTAGACACGAAAAATGTCTGATCACCGATGTCCCTCACCCTGGACCACTCCGGCGTACGGTCGTGGAGGTTGCACTTGTAGATCACGTTGCTGTAGGTGAAGCTCTGTGTCTCGTGGAACATGCTCACCATGGCACCCACAATGTGCAGCTCACCGTTTGATTCTAGGTAGCTGCGGTGACAGAGCCCCACAAGTGGCGACAGCGATGGCAGCAGTGTCGCGGTTGGAGTAGCTCTGGTGGCGTTGCTGCTGCAGACGGAGATTTCTCCAGTGGAGTCGATCGCCAAGAACTTGTCTTGGCAGTGGACAATGAATCCCACGGAGAACTCTAGTTTGGTGTCGAGCAGCGTCCATGCGCTGTCGACTCCAACCCGGCAGAACGCGACCTCCGTGGAGCACCCAAGCATGGCCATGGCCACGCACTCGCGGCCGGCGGCGTCAGGCGGCGCCGAGAACACGATCTCACGGAAGAACACGTTCCTCATGTCTTCTAGCTTGATGGCTCTGCCTGCGGCATCCGCGTCCCCGGAGCCGTTGGTGGGATGGAGGACCCACCGGCCGTGGACCCTAGACACGCGTTCCGATGAGGACGCCGCCGCGATGTGTTCGCCTGCTGGCGGGAGCTCAACGCGGGGGACACGAGCACCGGCGAATGGATTCAAGAATACACGGACGCCGCCGCCGTCCATGAGCGCCACCACCCACACGAGGAGCCGCCGCCACCTTGCCGCGCACGTCGAGCGCGCGTCTTGACAAAGACCTTCTTCTCCGGGACGCAGTAGAAGCCGACGCGGTCCGAGTCGGGGTCGAACGGGAGTAGCAGGAGCGGCCCGAAGGTCGCGAACGGAACGGCGGCGCGCCATGGGGATCAAGCGGATCGGAAGGATGCCGCGTCGTGGCCTGACGCGAGACGCTGCCCGATGGACTCGAGGAGATCATCTGGCAGGTCAGATCTCCAGTCAGGGAGAGGTAGGGACCTTCTCTTGGGATTGAGAGGCTGAGCCATGGAAGATAGATGATATCAACTATGGTTCACGCAAGAAACAACAAGCGAGGGTGATGGAACACGTGAGCGTGAAACCAAATGAAAGGAGGAAAAAGTTGTCTCTTTTGCAAATGCAAAGAAGGGAAGTAATTAAATGTAGGCAGATTTGGCAAGGTTCTCAGAAATGCAAAGAGATTCCTTTTGTCTTAATTCTCTTTCCTTCTGTGTTAATTATCTTTCCTTTTGCTCGTTGCCATGTATGCTGGTGCATACAAACATGCAATGTGTATATGGATAGCACAATAATTTTCTACTTCCTATTTTGCCGTGATTCGTCTATCACATGACAGGCAATATTCAATCAAGGAGAATGGCACGATTAATCAGTAATTAAGATGTCATGGGATCTCAGGCGTGGACAGACGGACGAACCAAAACAAATATCGCGCCAAAAAATATCCACACTTTATTCTTTTTAGTTGTAGGAGAAAAGAGCTTCTACAATATACCGATACAGAATGCGGCCTCGAAAAAAAATAGCCCCAACACTCAAGATACTCTGACTAGGAGCAACCTATAACCTATTGGCACCACCACACCATGGCCCAACAGAAACATGAGAACTAGAAATTGATTAGGATACAAATCCGAAAGCCCTCTCATGTTGGTCAATGTCATCCTTCACCCTTGGGGCCACTTGCTTGGATGTTTGAGTTGTTTTTGAATATACATCGGTTTCGCTCTTTATAAATGTTCCACATGATATAGATGGCCATACCGTTGACCTTGCGCTGATGATCTTTTGGAAATCCTCTTGATGTTTCCTCCCACCAAGAAAATGAGTTAAAACTTTTGAAATTGCCTTTCTATCGTGGTTCAGAGTGGTTGTAAAGGAGGTTTTATCTAAATTATTTTTTAAAAGTAGTAAATATGAGTATTTGATAAGATTTTTAAACCATAAAAAATATCTCTATGGCTTTAAAAATCTAAAAAAACTCTAGACATGGATTTTGCATCGAACAAATCCAAATAAACTACTTAGAACTCATGAAAATGTCCACATTCTTTAAAAATAATTTATCTCTAGAAAAAATGTGTAAAACATCTAAGAAATTCTCAAAACATTTTCTAATCGACATGTAAAACGTGTATTGAAAACTTTTTGCAAGAACAATTTAAGAGGCGAACTTAAGGAAATTTGACTCAACCAAAATCTATAATTGTACCTTTTTGTAGACAAAGGTAGTACTAGTAGGTTTCCACAGGAGTTTTCACGGGTGTATAATGTTTGTACAGAACGGTCTACCGGTTGCAATGTGTAAATGGTGAAATGATAGCATAGATAAAGCCTATGTACATGGGAATAGTAAACATTCGAACCATTTGACTGTGTCATGTGGAGTCATGACTAATCAGGGTTCAGCGAAGAGTACCCAAAAAAAGAGTAAGAAACGCCCGAGCCGAACCAAGCACCCAGTCCATCCGACTCCTCCCTCCCAGTCCGCAATTGTACCCGGAGTTCAACTCATTTTACCCAGTCCATCCGACTCTTCGTGTGTTCTTCACCCACCCGCCACCACCATCTACCAAGAGTTGACCGAGCGAAGGTCGCAGGTCGCCTGCCGGCAATTGTACCCGGAGTTCAACTCATTTTTCGAGTTCTCGGATCTCATCTCTAGCCACTTCCCCGCATCTCTCCACTGGATCAGTCTGCCCTGCCCATCGATTGCCCTGATACGGTACGTGTGTGTGCTTAGCTCCCTTCTTTCTGCCCCCTTCTCCACTAGCCATTGTTACTAGTTCTTAGCTGGATCCTTTTCTCGGCAGTCGACACCGATGGCCCCGACGTATTGCTTAGTGTGTATATAGATCTCGTTGTTGTAAAAAAAAACTGATGCCGTTGATGCTGTAGCCATCCTGTCTCGGCTTATTTATTTTTTCTAGCGATCCATTTGTTAGAGGCAGCAAGAACCAAGAAGGTATACGTACGTGTAAGCTGGGCCTGTTCGGCTGGTATTAAAGCCGACTAATGCTGATTTATTATCAGAGAAAAATACTATATATTCTAGCTAATAAGCCAGCTGATAAATTCAAACGAACCGGCTGTAGGTTCTAGCCAAACCGACTCAAATCAGGCGACCAAACTAGGCATCTGATACTCCGCCGAAGGTTTTTTTTATATATATATTTGATTTGATAAAAATATCATATTACTAGTGTACCAACGGTTATTGTTATAAGCATCTCAGATTACAAATCACAAACTTTGAAGATAGATAAAATTTGCTATAAGACACTGAAAGTGACCTCTATTTGCCATCGGATATGTAAAATGGAGCAATTTGCTGATGAACACTTTTGTTGTCGTCAAATTTGCTCCTGAACACAATGGCCCATAAATATTCATTTATAGCTTGGAGTTTTTTTTATATATATATTTGATTTGATAAAAAGATCATATTACTAGTGTACCAACGGTTATTGTTATAAGCATCTCAGATTACAAATCACAAACTTTGAAGATAGATAAAATTTGCTATAGGACACTGAAAGTGACCTCTATTTGCCAGCGGACATGTAAAATGGAGCAATTTGCTGATGAACGCTTTGGTTGTCGTCAAATTTGCTCTGAACACAACGGCCCATAAATATTCATTTATAGCTTGAAAGAAGAGAGAACGGTGGTGAAATGCCTGTTTTGCCCCTTTCTTCTTTCCTAGCCCTTTCTTTTCTTTCTCACCGGTGCCGCCACCATGGCCGCGAGCTCAGAGCTTAGAGCTCGCCGTGCCGCCGACTTGCACCTCCTGTGTCTGTCTCCGGCCCCGCTCCCCCGGTTCCCCGCCGCCGCAGCGGTCGCACGCGCGCCAGCCCACGTGAGTGCGCGCTCCACCACGCCACCGCCGGCCTGGGTCCGCCCATGTCGATTTTGGGCGACGTGCGCCACCCCGCATGCGCTCCTCTCGCCCGCGTGCGCTGTTGATTTTCTCCTCGCGCCCACCTACAGCAACAAGCCCGGCTCCACGCGGCGGCGGCATCGGTACAAAAGGAGGAGGGCACAACTCCAACAGCCGCAGCTAGGTGCCTGCGGCGCTGCGCGTGGGCTTCCCACAGCGCAGCCGCATGCCGCATGCCGCTGATGCCCGCGGCAGGCTCCGCGGCCAAGCGGAGGGCGCCTTCGCCACAGCCGTCGGTGTCCTTCTAGTCCTCCAACGGCTTCCCGCCGGTGCCAGCCCTTCTGGCAGTGAACGGGAGGAGGAAGAGGATGGACGAAGGGCGCTCGGACGGTGGCAGCCCGCATGCGCTCCGCCCGCGATCCCTCGCGCCGACACGCTGCCCTCCTGCCGTTGTTGCTGCCTCTCCTCCCCGCCGTTGCTGCATTCCCTGCTGCTGCTCACAGGCAAGCCAGGATCTGAGGCAGAGTTGAAAGAAAATGAGAGAATTATCTATTTGGCAACGAAACAGATCAATCTTTTATATTTGTCATTTGAAAATTTGAATTTTCTTATATAGCATCGAGTTAAAATTTCCTTATCTAGATGGCACCGCCGTCGATTTTTATCGTCAATCTGACCGTATGACCTTATCAGTTGTCTCCCTACGTCCAATGTAGCCCTCTTGCTCGCGCATCCAGCATCCCGCGACCTTCTTCCCCGTGCCCCGCGACCTTCCGCGAAAAAAAACTCTAATCGATGGAAGGAGGAGGAGAGGAAGATGGAGCAGAGGATCCCGCGGCCGGCAGTGCCCAGCACCAGCTACGCACGTCCTCTGGCGGAGCGGCCTCACCCGGCGGAGCCAGGCCGCGGCGCGGCCACGGCGGCGGGGCGAGCTCGCGGGCCGTCGCTCCGGCCAGCCCGCGGTGTGGCGGAGGCGACGTGGCCCCTCCGGCCCGCACGCGGGTTGCTCCCAGCGAGAGGCCGAAGAGAGAAGCCAATGGCAGTCTTGTAGTCGTTGCTCCCAATTGGCTGACTGCATGCTCGTCCCGATTGGCTGCCGACGAGGTGCCGAAATCGCGCATGACGACGACAGAATCGCACCGGACCGCCTCGCCTCCCTGCGAAGCCATCGCTGGAGAACTTCCGGAGGCGGCTCGCTTCTCTCGGCTCGGGAGGACTTCCGGCTGGCGATGGCTCGCTTCTCTTGCCGCGGGCATGGATTTTGCCGGTAGTACCTAGCTCTCTCCGCTCGAAGGGATAGATATGGGATCCATTTTTCTCGTGACTTACGGTGGTTGGGCTAGTGCGACTAATGTGTACTGTTACCTTAGACTTTGAGATTTATTGATTATTTATTTGCAGTCTCACATTATCAAAATCTTATATTTTAGTTCACAAGTATATTTATGATATTTATGATTTTCTTATTTGACAAACTTTTCTATTTATTTGCAGTCTCACATTATTAAAATCTCATGTTTTAGTTCACAAGTATATTTATGATATTTAATATTCTTTCCCTACTTGGCACTATGAACTTTTGCTATAAACAAGGGTATTCATGTCATTTTGCCATAATGATTAAATATATTTATGCCACAGTTGCTTCCATAGTATGGTTCATGTAAAACTCCAATCATTCAATCTATTCCTTTACAAAAAAGAAAAGAAAAGAAAAAGAATGAAAGCTTCTGTCTTCACCCACAGTTTTTTGTTAGTATAAGCGTCTCAGGCTATTAGTATCATCAGAGACGGGCAATTTCTACAGGAGTCCATTAATTTCTATTGATTAGATCAGCAACTTTGAAAATATGGCAATTTCAAAGTGTCCAGCCGCAATACCTTTTTTCCACAAAGATTAAATATATTGATGCCAGGGTTACTTGTGTAGTATGGTTCATGTAAAACTCCAATCATTCAATGTCTTCCTTTACAAAATAAAAAATGAAATGAAATGAAAGCTTCAGTGTCTTCACTAGAGTTTCGTACACAAATTTACTCACTTGTTCGTTGACACTGGCAGGTTCAAGAGACTTTTATGCTATAAAATCCTTACTGGTGTCCTTTAATGGAACTCCCTGAAAACAAGCTTACCGACTTCATCAAAAGCAGTGAAAAGGCAAAATGGATACCAGTCAACAATCACAATGTGAACAACTTCACAGAAGATGAGATTAAAAGGATAACTAACAATTATAGCACTCCTATTGGCCAAGGTGGCTTTGGACAAGTTTACCGAGGTTCTCTTAATGATGGTACTACAGTCGCAGTAAAGAAATACATCTGCCAGAATGTGAAAGATGGATTTGCTAAAGAGGTAATCGTCCATTGTCAAATCAACCACAGGAATGTAGTCAGGCTCTTGGGCTATTGTTCTGAGGATAACGCGTTATTGATTGTCACTGAGTATGTTCCCGGGGGAAACCTCAAAGATCTCCTTCATGGCAGTGATGCTCCCATTTCTCTGGATGCAAGGCTGCGTATTGCTATAGAATGTGCAGATGCATTAGGATACATGCATTCATCCATGTACCAACCGATGATTCACGGTGATATCAAACCTGATAACATACTCCTGGACATTAATTTGGGTGCAAAATTGTCTGACTTTGGATTATCGAGGTTGCTTTCCATGCACCAAACTCAATACACCAAGAATGTAATAGGCAGCAGAGGTTACATGGATCCAGAGTATATTGAGACTGGGCTCCTTGATCCAAAGAGTGATGTTTACAGTTTTGGGGTTGTTCTCTTGGAACTAATTACCAGAGCCAAGGCAGGCGAAAATGGGTTTAGTACTAGCCTCAAAAGAAACTTCACTGGTGCTCTAGGAAAAGGAAAGCAAGAGGCTCGAAAGATGTTTGATACTGAGATAGCAAACGAGAGAGACATTGAGATTCTTGACGAAATCGGAAATCTGGCAGCACAGTGCTTCACGAAGGATATCAAGGAACGCCCTGAAATGAAAGAGGTTCTGTGGAGTCTGCAGATGCTTAGAAGATCCCTTCGTTGTGAGAAATCTCAAGAAAAAATAGGTCAAAGCTCATCGTCGGGAACACAGGCGATAACACAAAAGATCGACAATCATGGCTCAAGCATTCCCAGTTCCAGCTCCACCTCAAGTGTAACTTACAAGTTCAGCATCCTAGACATCTTCAATAGGAAATCACGCATGTTCGAGAGTAATCGTGGTTCAAAACTGAAAGGGCGTCTGGGTTCGAGAGCTCCCGCCTGCGTGCAATGCGAGGAGACCGTGACTCGAACCCGGGACCTTCCGGTCACAGGCGCTAAGACTCTACCGCTTGCACCAGGCCCGCCCTTCGGTTCAAAACTGAAAGCTGTCGGTATAAATATTTTCACCTTAGAAGAAATCAAAAGTATTACCCGCAACTATTCAACTGTAATTAGGCAGGATCATACTGGTTTCGTCTACATGGGACATATCGACGGCCAAGCAGTTGCAGTGAAGAGGTCGGTTTGTGGGGACAGAACATTTGATATAGATGATTTTGTTGACGACATGTTATGTGCGTTTAAGGTTCGCCATATGAATATCATCAGTCTAGTGGGCTGTTGCTTGGAGACGGAATTTCCTCTGTTGGTATGCGAGTTTGCCCCTCGTCGGAGTCTGCACGAGCTTCTGCATTCTTATAAGGGTTAAGTACACTTTACAACCCTGAACTTGCGCCAAAGTATGATTTTCAACCTTCAACTATGAAACCGGTCAAGAAACACCCTCCAACTATCAAAACCGGACAACTTTGGTCCTCGGCTGGTTTCAAAAGCGGTTTTCTATTTTTGGGAGGCGCCGAAATTTTAAATTATTTTTTTGAGCATCTTAACGTTCTCAAATGAAAAAACTCAAAACTACAAAGTTGTAGATCTCATTGAGGTCTACAATTTACATATAAAAATTATCTTCATCCGACATCGTATCAAAGGGTTTTCTATTTTTTTAAATTTGAGTCTCATCACGCGACAAAATATGGTGCTGAAATTTTATATTATTTTTTGCAATTTTGTCGCGTGATGAGACTCACATTTCAAAAAATAGAAAACCCTTCAATACGATGTCAGATGAAGATAATTTTTATATGTAAATTATAGACCTCGATGAGATCTACAACTTTATAGTTTTGATTTTTTTCATTTGAGGACAGTAAGATGCTCGAAAAAATAATATAAAATTTCAGCACCATATTTTGTCGCGTGATGAGACTCAAATTTAAAAAAATAAAAAACCCTTTGATACGATGTCGGATGAAGATAATTTTTATATGTAAATTGTAGACCTCAATGAGATCTACAACTTTGTAGTTTTGAGTTTTTTCATTTGAGAACGTTAAGATGCTCAAAAAAATAATTTAAAATTTCGGCGCCTCCCAAAAATAGAAAACCGCTTTTGAAACCAGCCGAGGACCAAAGTTGTCCGGTTTTGATAGTTGGAGGGTGTTTCTTAACCGGTTTCATAGTTGAAGGTTGAAAATCATACTTTGGCGCAAGTTCAGGGTTGTAAAGTGTACTTTACCCTTCTTATAACGGTAATCAGTCTCTCTCACTTGATTTACGCCTAGGTATTGCAATTGGATCCGCACAGGCATTGGGATATTTGCACTCCTTGGGAAAGCACCATGGCAATGTCACATCTACATGTATAATGCTAGGTGACGATTTTGTGCCAAAGGTCTCGGTTTTTTTTCCGACACACCTGATGAGCAGTAGTGGAAGTGGACAGTTGGAATGGAATGACATGGCATACATTGACCCAGCTTACCTGAAGACTTGTCTCCTCACATCAAAGTGTGGTGTTTACTCTTTCGAAATCACATCAAAGAGTGATGTTTACTCTTTCGGAATTGTGCTCTTGGAACTAATCACCAGAAAACAGCCAAGAAATAGCCTCCGGGTTGAATATATCAAAGCTTGCAGGAATGAAAACAGTGGGAAAGCCATGTTTGACAAGGAGATTGCAGTCGAAGGGAGCATCTTTATCCTGGAAGAGATGGGCAAGCTGGCAGTGAATTGTATCAGGACAGATGTACATGAGCGACCAGAAATGGTGGAGGTGGTGGAACACCTTCAGAACCTAAGAAGAGACTCGAAGCACACCGAAGGGGGCCTGCAGGACGCCACAGCCTCTCATGCCAATGAGTAGATCGATAACAGGAGAGAACACTGATTGATGGAGCAAATATTTCTCTAGTATGATCGTGAGTAGTGAAAGAAACAACGCGTTGCTGTTTCAATACCATCCAGCCGATAGTGTGGTAATAAAATAACTAATAAATTATCTCAAGAATATTATAGTTAACTGAGGTGCTGAAGGGAAGGGATCAGGATATACTGGAAGGTGAGGCTGATTTGCTGAAGGCTGCGGCACTAAAAAGCTCAGCAAGAGGACTGTGATTGGCGTCGCTGCACTGAAGTCAAGGACGGGCGATCAACAGTGGCAGTAGCGGAGCGTGAAGGGAATTCAAGAGGGGGCTAATAGTGTTAAATTTTTCTGTAGAGTGCAAATCTCCATTACTTGCTAAGTATCATCCTTTAGCATCCTTGAGAAATTTCACAAGGTTGCTTAAAGTTCCAGAGTGGGTCACCTACCTGGAAGATCTTGTTAAGTTAATCATTTCTGACAGCTCTCAGGACAGACACTTTTGAGTTCCTTGAATCAATACCATCACTATTTTGCAACCTGGAAGATCTAGTTTAGTTTACCTTCTCGTTCAGTGCTGAAAAGCAGTATTCATATACGGTGACCATTATTGAAGAGAGCAAACTAAGCTCTGTGGCAGCATCTCTGTTCCAGGCGGAGGATACAAGAGTCTCAAGCTTCTTCGCTTCACTTCGCCTCTTCTGCCATCGCTGACCTTCTCTGAAGGGGCAATGCCCGAGCTCCAAAGGATTGATCTGCAGTTCACAAGGCTGGAAGGTCTGAGCAATATGGACAACCTTGCAAGTCTCCTAGAGGTGCATCTGACCATGTTTAAACAAGCAGATGAAGCTACCATTGAGATAGTGAGTGGTCTAGCAACAGCAGCAAGGGGGAGTGCCAAGAAAGTAAAAGTTATAGTCGATGCTAGGTGAAACCGAGCTTCCAAACTTTTGTTAAGTTCGTCGGCCTGCACTGGGAACCCTTCTCTATGTTCAGGTTCAGTTTGCAATAATGTTGTTTGTTTGATCTGGATGTTTTTTCCTCACACTGTGCTTTCTTGTTTCATTGTTGTAATTTTAAATAAAGATGACTCTCAAACTACAGCATATTCTCATGGCAATTCTCAAGTGAACATTTGTAAACGAAATGAGATCGCTGGAATTTCTATTATCAAGACTGCCAGTACCCAGTGATCCATCGCCTAGCATTTTTCTTCTCTTTCTGCCACGAGTGATTTTGTACCGTGTGCAAATTACAAAACCCATGATTTTACGGACACTGCCGGTGCTTGCTAATTTACCCGTTGGTACAGTTACAGTACATATGCCATACCTGATGTTGCAGAGTGGTCCGGGCTGGATTGGGCCAGTGGACTGGGAATGGGGCCCCAGGCCCATTAATATCGCTGTGCCCTCTGTTGCAGAACAAATGTTTGTTGATCACATTTTCACCGACACTGATGTCCAGGACTCTAGTAAAAAGAGATGGAGAGGTTAGGTTTGACAGCCAAGTGATGGTAAGTACTCCGTACTCATTCCTACTGTGGTGGTAGCACATGTGCCTGCCTGTGATTCAGTTGTTCAACACAGGCTTCAAGTTGTCAACTCTAGTATGACGTGGCTGTTAGCGTCACAAGTAATTTTAGCAGATCATGTTCCTCCTTAATTGATCCTTGTGTTTATCAGTTGATGAACCTATGCTATATGTTTGGTTGTTTATTTACTATAGCAGAAGCAGCAGCATCGATCATCTGGTCCTTGTGATTTGAAAGGATAAAGACTGATGGTAGGGGACTGGGTAATGGAAGAGAAGGAACTCACCGGTGGAGGGGGAGGGGGTTGCAGGTGGCATGGCCGGTGACGGATAGGAAGTGAATTGCGCGGAGGGATCGCTGGAGATGCCGTAGCATGGTGGCGGCAGGCAGCATCGGAAAGCTCATCTCGGTCTCGGGTCGGGAGCAGCGCTAGCGATTGGCGAAGGCAGAGACGCAGGCGCCACAAGCGGCGGCGTTTTTCTGCCTCTGCAAGGCAGTGGCAGACCAGGATTTGAACCCTGGGTAGGCCTAACCAATAGTCTAATACACAATTCGACATATGGAAGTATAAAATTTACCAAGCACAACGGTAGACTGGTATAAATTATCCAGACACACGATAAACACATATTTAAATGGTCTCATAATTATAAACTCAACAAATAAGTTCAAGGTTGTATAAACGAAAACACAATGCACTAATTTACCTGCCCGTAAATGCATCAGAGATGAACTTCAGATAGACACCAGAATAATATTTGTTTTATCATTGGTTATTTACAGGAAAAAAATTACAAAAATGACACTCGAAAGATTGACTCCTCGATTATGATGACACTCGGGTGGATGACAAGTGGGTCCATCTGTGTCTATGAATGTGGGTCCGGTGTCAAATCTGCAAACGACCTATGTTTCGAGTCCAAGGGCGACATTGTACAGCAAAATAAAGGATCACTTATGAACCTAAGGCCGTGTTCATTGTGATGCGAATTGGCGGTACTTGGTTCTACTGAAAAATTGAATGGGCCGTCTCGCCCAGCGCGCTTCACCGCCATCAGTAGATGCTCGGTGACCCAGAAAAACCAACTCGCGCCCTCCCGACGCTCCCCCTCTCGCATTCGCTCCCATGCTCCCTTGCGCCGAGAGTTAGGGTTTCGCCGCTCCCACGCTCCCGCCCAGCGACGCGTCGAGTTGTCGCCCTTTAGCCACTCCTCCGCTTAACCCACGGGCGTCCATCTGTCCTTCTCCCTTCCTCCCCCTCCCCGTGCGGCGCGGCGGAAGCCGCCATCCACCTGGCCCGTGTCGCCAGATTCGGTCCGGCTTGCCCTAGCAAATCCTCCGCGTCGTCCTCGCCGTGTTTGTGGGACAGATCCACCCCTTCGTCGGCTACGGCCTCACCTCCGACGACTCCGGTAAAATACCGGCTTGCTTCAACGTTCTGCCGATTCATATGTTTGGTGTCCTTTCCAGATCTGACTTGTAGTCGGTGCATACACATTAAATCCGTCGTTTCCTATCCCATTTTGGCTAGAAACTAGTAGATCCGCTTCGTTAGGGTTCAAGTTCATGCTCACAAGTGTGGTTGCCTGTGTACAGCCAGATTATATCATCTACCGCTTATGTTTGCTACACATGGTCATGGGCATGGAGTAGTAGGTTTTGTTTCTAGATTTGATTTGAGCGGGAATTCGATCGAGTGTTGTTGTTCCTCATTCTTTTTGTATTATATATATCTGCGACATTCATATATATATATATATATATATATATATATATATATATATATATATATATATATATATATATATATATATGAATAAACATTGGACGATCTATTGCATACTTTTTATGGATTTTTTTCCTGGGTTTGTTACGAATCAGAAGCTTTTTTTTCCTGCTCAGTGCTCAACTGCTCACCTTGTGCTGCCACTGCTAAGTTAGCGCAGGCTATGTTGGTTTGGCTCACCGTCATGAGGTCGTTTGGCTGGATAGTAGGTTGCATTTTGATTCACAAATTTTTCATAAAAAATTTAATATAAATGAAAATATTATTCAAAAAATCATAACTAATTGTGGTTAAAGAATAACTTAAATACAACCCATTTTAACTTGTTTCGTCACTTAAAAAATTAATTAAAATTTATGGTTGCTAATACAGAGGTGCGGGCTGCTTTCAGAATCATATGAAAACTAGCTAATTGTCGTTTCTCCTTGATAGGCATAAAAAACGAGAAACTAGAAATTCTCGAGTTAAACATTTCTCATCTAACCCGTTTGCTAGTGATTCTAGCAATTATTGTAAGAATCAGAAAGGTTTCTGGTTGTCAAGCAGGCCTAAGTCAGATTACGTATCAATTGCCTTATCCTCATAGGGAAGGAATAAAACCAAACTATTACATTACTTAATCCACTCTCGAACTGCACATCAGCTGTGTGGACATTTCTGCATCTTCATCGAAGTCTCAGTTTCCCCGGTAGTTTAAACTGAATACTCCTATTTTGCCCCATTTGGTCATTCAAGAAGGTACTGTTTGAAAGTGATGACTGTGTTATTTCTGCAACTCGGGAATAGTAGTAGATGGCTGGCATCTTCTCGATGCATGATGCATGATATGAATCATACAGTTGTTACAATTATGATGTGACGTTTTCTGCACAAAGATGGACATCCTGTGGATTCTTTAAATTTGCAATGACCCTCATCATACAGCTTCGATCTTACTGACAGATTAACATGTTCACCATGTAGGTGTGCACTTTCCAAGTACATATACTGGCACCGTCGTCAACAGCTTCCTGCTCCCCGCCGGAATCCCCCCGGTACAACTTGCGTTCCAAGCGCTTGAAGCGAGAAGTCAAGGCAAGTCCACATTCTTTCCATTGCTTCGTGTTTGAGTTATTTCGTTCTTTCCTTTAGTTTTTTTTCGGTACCGTTACTATGCCCACCCACAAACGACAATAGCCCTTCCACGTTCCAACATGCCTCCGAAGCGTGCAAGTTGGACGGAGGACGAAACCAAGCTGTTGCTGGACCTTTGTCTTCGAGAGAAAGAAAAGTGTAACTTCAATCAGCAGGGCCTCACGACGGCTGGCTGGTGCAACATTTACACTTACTTCCCCCGTTTTGATAAAAAACAGTGCAACAACAAGCTTGGTTACCTCAAAAAAGCCTACCTAACATGGAAAGAAGGGCTTACAACCACTGGGCTTGGGAGGGACCCCCATACGGGCGCCATTGCTGCTGATAGTGAGTACTGGGAAACTCAAGAAGTTCCGCAGCCCATGAACTCGGTATGTCAGCTTGTTACAAGTTGTGATTAGATATGATATAGACATATGTCATCTTTTTTTTGCAGGATGGCAGTCAACCTGAGGTACTACGTGGTAGGCAACCGAGGTACCTTGACCAATTGGAGGCACTGTTCGGGGACCGCAACCGGAACACCGGCTGCTTTGTATCGGCTGGTGGCATTCGGGACTCAACGCCCTCTGCTGTTCCGTGGAGGCTAGACTTAGGCGGCCCATCCAGCAACCATTCTGGTTCTAAGAGGGACACCAGGGACCATGTTGTCAACAACCCAGAAAAGAAGAAGAATTGCAATGTGGAGGAGTACATTGCCCGGTTGTCTGAGACCATTGCTGCAAGGAGCGCATCAAGGGATAGGGAGCGGACCCGTGAACAGGCGGAGGTAGACGAAGCTATGCAACTTTTACAAGAAGATGGTGTGCCAGCCACTTCAGACATGTTCTTCTTGGCAACGGATCTGTTCAATAACTCAGTGCCCCGGCGGGTGTTCAGGAACCTGCTGACAACCGAAGAACGGATGGCTTGGCTGACATATCAAATGAACAAGCACCAGAAGTAGTTCAGCAGCTAGGATGTTGAGTTTGGCATCAAGCAACAGTGGCATTTCAGTGTCGGCATTTATCCTTTAGATTCGTTGTTGTCCTACTTGTCTTGAGGTTTCTGTATTGTAACGGGGCCTGTGGCCAAAAACCATGTTTCGCATTCTTCTTCCCGAACTCGTTCTAAGTTGTTTTATGTGATGTATTTGTTTGAGTTGCCGGAGATTTTTTGGTTCTTGAAGCTAACACATATTTCACTGGTGCCATATGCTTTAATTGTTCTGCATTTACAGAAATCATAACCATTTACTTGTGTTGCAGGAATGTCAGGGACTGCTTGTAGAGAAACTCACTGATTGGCGAGGTTGAAGGTGTGTATCCTTAGAGTTCAGTAGGTTATGACTGGTTAGTATTTCAGTTTCTGTGAACTAACCTTGAAGTGCCTTTGTTCAATTTCACATATGTAGGTTCGTGGGTCCGGTTTTTTTCCTGGCGCGTGATTTGCAGCTAAGAGAGCATCAGAAGAGGGAACGGGGATTGACTCTCAGTGGC